AGGAGCCGGGCATGGAGAAGGAGGCCACACGGCCTGCGGGGCGAGGCCTGGTGAGGCTGGGCTGCTGGTGGGAGGGCCCTCACCCTGGGCTCCCACCCTGAGCCCCCCTGCACATCCTGAGCTTTATCCCTGTTCTGTGCCGCCCTCCCCCTGAACCCTCTGACCCCACCAGCCAGCACCCCACCGTGTCCCTGGCCCCCACCCTGACCTTTGGTGGTGGGGTCTGCTGGCTCCGGGTCCTCGCGGGGCTGGCTGCCCAGGTCGCTCATGTTGACGGCCACCGTGGACTTGGTCTCCTGCTGTGCCCGCTTCATGCGGTCGTGCAGCACCTTGAAGAAGCGCTCGGACTTCTTGTCGCTTGTCATCAGGTTGTAGAAGGATTTCTGGGGGTGGACGGTTAGACAGGGAGGCAGCCTCAGCACTGGGCCCGGCTCTCAGCAGCCCTGGGGAGGCCCTGAGTCCTCTGTCCTGTGCTGCAGGGACAGGGATGGGGCACAGATGGGCCCCCAGACACGCCCAATCCAGACTGAGGCTGGGGAGCCAGAGCCAGCCCTGCACCTGCTGGTGGGGCTGTAACTGCTGTCACTGATGCTGGAGGCTGGCGCTGGCCCCTGACACCGTCTGCGTCTGCCCTTGGCCTTCATCTGTGCCCACAGCAGCCAGGGGTCCCCCGGACATTTACATCACTTCCCTCCTCTGCTCAAAACCCTGCAGCGGCCCCTCAGTGCCCAGGAGGCCAGGCGACAGCCTACCACCTCTCTGACCCCAGGCCCCGCCGCTCACGCCTCCTCCACCTCTTCCAGCCACAGCAGCCACTTCCTATTCACGACCTTCGTGCCAGCTGCCTGCTCTGCCCGGGGCACCCTGCCCACTGTCCAGAGCTCACCTCCAGGCCTTCCCCACACTCCCTCTAAGATGCCCTGCCTGGCTGATCCCCGCCCAGCACGCCCTCCCGTCAGGTAGAGATTACAGTCATTGGCTGTTGCCTCACGGGGGTGTAAGTGCCAAGAGCACATGGTTTGTCTCTTTTGCTCACTGCCCGGCACAGAGGGCCCTCCGTGCACTCACTGAAAGAATGAAAGAACGAGTGGGGATAAAGCTGCAGAGAGGGCTTTGGGGAGGAGGCAGGCCTCTAGCTGGGCACCAAGGGCTGAGGAAGATGTAGAAGAAGAGAGGCCCGAGGCAAGAAAGTGGGCCTAACGCAGGGCAGGGTGGTGGGACACAGGCTCAGGCCTGGCTGGAGCAGAGCAAGGTGGGTGTGGATAGAAACGTGGCCACGTGGCCGACCGGCGTGGCTCAGTGGCTGAGCGTCGACCTATGGACCAGGAGGTCACGGTTCGATTCCCGGTCAGGGCACATGCCTGGGTTGTGGGTTCCATTCCCAGTGTGGGGCATGCAGGAGGCAGCTGATCCATGATTCTCATCATTGATGTTTCTATCTCCCTCTCTCCCTCTCCCTTCCTCTCAGAAATCAATAAAAATATACTTTAAAAAAGAAAAGTGGGCACGTGACAGTGTGGGAGGTGGAGCTGCCCACCGGCGCCCTGCCCGGCAGCGAAGCCCCCGTGGCCTCAGCGTCTT